GGAGGTCTTAACAGTGGCTACATAAAAAAATTTGAAGATGATCCTACAGCGGAGAGTTAATTTTTACTGTAAATCAAGAAAAGGAACTGGCAGATTATCTTAAAATGTGCGCAAAAATGAATTGCGGACTTAATTATATTAAAATTCGTAAATTGACATATGAGCTTGCTGTAAAAAATACTTGGGACCAAAAGCAAATGGCAGGAACAGACTGGATGAAGGCCGTTTAGAAGAGAAATGAAACGTTGTCATTAAGAACTCCTGAAGCTACAAGTCTGAGTAGAGGAACTGGTTTTAATAGACAAAACGTGATAGAAATTACCAACTTAAAGAATATCTTTGATAGAGAAACATTTGATGCATCTGAGACATGGAATATTGATGAAACCAATACACAACCGTTCAAAACCCAAAGAAAGAAGTAGCATCGAAGGGTCAAAAACAAGTATGCCAAATAACATCAGGAGAACGGGGTCAGTCGTGCTGTTAGCAGCTTTGGTAAATCAATTCTACCTTTTATGGGATTTCCACATGTTAATTTTAAACCCTTAATGACTACAGGTGCTCCTAAAGAAACAGTTGGAGTGGCACATCCATCAGGATGAATGACTGGAGAAAACTGTAATATTTTTAAAACATTTCGTATCTCATGTAAATTGCACTAAATAAAACAAAGTGTTGATTATCATGGACAACCGTGATAACCATATTTGCAAAGAATAATGACATTGTGTTATTAAATTTACCTCCACACTGCAGTAATAAATTGCAGCCGATGTGCTTTTTCTTCATGTAAAAATTCATGCGACAAAACTGCTAATGAGTGGATGATCCTGGTAAAGTAATCACAATTTATAACATTGCTACCCTAATGAATAACATTCAGGAGTCTTTAGAAAACAAATCACAATGCGTAGCTATATTCACTGATCTGTCTAAAGCATTTGACTGAGTAAGTCACACATTGTTAATCAACAAACTAGATAAATATGGCATTAGAGGCATTGCAAATAAGATGATTGCTTCTTATTTTCAAAACAGACAACAAAGTGTATATTACAGAAATAAACTTAGTAAACCTTTATTAATGAAAATAGGTGTTCCACAATGATCCATACTGTCTTCTAGGAAGGAATTTTTCAATAATGCCTGTTCCTTAGAATTTGATATTAAATCTTTTAACAGTTCCTAGATAAGATTGGATGTTAATTAGGGCAGGTATATTTTTTTCAATCCAGCACGAGTTAGGTATACGGATTATAGAGACCTTTACTCTTTTACCTTTTACAGGATTAGTGAGCAGGGGTTAGGATGCGCCCGAAAATTCGAGCAGTTATTTTTCTAGGAAAATAAGAATTGGCATTTCGAGGTCATAATGAAGTTAAATCTTCCGAAAATCGCGGTAATTTTATGGAACTTTTAGATTCCTATATCTCACTCAATTCTATGGATACTATAAAAAAATTTCGCTTGTATTTGCCGCCAATTCTAAAATAATTCAAAATGAATTAATAAGCTGTATTTCTCAATATATTGAGATTTTTCGAAATAGAAAATATTTTCGGACTAGTTTTGGTCTATATAAAAAAAAAATGTACATAAAATTTTTGACAAAAACAAATTAAAAAAAAAATTGACAAAAAGAAAAAATTTACAAAAAAAATGACAAAAAATTGACAAAAAAAAATGGGAAAAAAAATTGACAAAAATGTTGACAAAAAATAAAAAAATTTTGAGAAAATAAAATTGACAAATTAAATTGGCACAAATATGAGACAAAAAAATTAACAAGAAAATTTGACAAAAAAAATTAAAAATTTGACAAAAAAAAATTAAAATAAAAAAATTTGACACAAAAAATTGAAAAAGATGACAAAAAATTTCAATAAAAAAAAAATTGACAAAAAATTTTGACAAAAAAATAAAAAAAATTGATAAAAAAATTTGACAATAAAATTGGCACAAATATTTGACAAAAGAAAATTGACAAAAAAATTGACAATAATTTTGACAAAAAAAATAAAAAAAAATTTGACAAAAAATTTAGACAAAATAAAATTGGCACAAATATTTGACAAAAAAAAAATGATAATTTTGACAAAAAAAAATAAAAAAATTTGACACAAAAAAATTGACAAAAAAAAATGAAAAATTTCGATAAAAAAAATTGACAAAAAAATTAACAAAACAAAAAGAAAATTGACAAAAAAATTTAGACAAAAATTTTGACAAAATAAAATTGGCACAAATATTTGACAAAAGAAAATTGTCAAAAGAATTGACAATAATTTAGACAAAAAAAAAATAAAAAAATTTGACAAAAAATTTCGATAAAAAAAATTTTTGACAAAAAAAATGATAATTTTGACAAAAAAAAAAATAAAAAAATTGACAAAAAATTTAGACAAAAAAAAATAAAAAAAAATGACAAAAAAATTAAAAAAAATTCAGAAAATAAAATTGACAAATAAAATTGGCACAAATATGAGACAAGAAAATTTGACAAAAAAATTAAAATAAAAAAATTTGACACAAAAAATTGAAAAAGATGACAAAAAATTTCAATAAAAAAAAAAATTGACAAAAAATTTAGACAAAAAAATTAAAAAAAAAATTGGCAAAAAAAATAAAAAAATTGACAAAATAAAATTGGCACAAATATTTGACAAAAGAAAATTGACAATAATTTTGACAAAAAAAATAAAAAAATTTGACATTTTTTACAAAAAAAATTTGACAAAAAATTTCGATAAAAAAAAATTTGATAAAAAAAATTTAGACAAAAAAAAATGATAATTTTGACAAAAAAAATCAAAAAATTTGACAAAAAAATTTTTTTACAAAAAAAATTGACAAAAAATTTGGACAAAAAAAATAAAAAAATTTAACACAAAAATTTTTACAAAAAAAATGACAAAAATTTCGATAAAAAATTTCGATAAAAAAATTTAGACAAAATAAAATTGGCACAAATATTTGACAAAAAAAAATGATAATTTAGACAAAAAAAAAATAAAATTTGACAAAAAAAATTAACAAAAAAAATTTAGACAAAAAAAATGAAAAATTTCGATAAAAAAAATTGACAAAAAATTTAGACAAAAAAATTAACAAAAAATTTACAAAAAAAAATTGACGAAAAAATTTAGACAAAAGTTTTGACAAAATAAAATTGGCACAAATATTTGACAAAAAAATTCACAATAATTTTGACAAAAAAAAATTTCAAAAAATAAAAAAATTGAAAAAAAAAATTTCGATAAAAAATTTAGACTTAAAAAATTGAAAAAAAAAATTTCGATAAAAAATTTAGACTTAAAAAATTGAAAAAAAAATTGGCAAAAAAAATCTATATTCAAATTTTCACTCACTTACGTACATATTAGATTGGTAAATATAAATTGTAAAAACTAAATGTAAACTAACTATATTATTATTATTAAACTATATCACAAAAACAAGATTAATTACAATGATTACATTATTTTACACATTTTTCTATTGTTTTATTTTAAAATCATGAAACTTAATTTTTTTAATTCAAGAAGAAAAACAATTATTTCTACCAAGAATATGTAGTAAGTAGTAAAAAAGTTTTTATTATCAAAATAAGAATTAAAATAAATCATCCTAACTATAAACAGGAAGGTACCTGATAAAATGATAACTGAAGTCTTAAAAAATAAACAATGATATTAAAATGGAGTAAATATATTATTGAAAACTTAACCACATTGTTTTCTATGTTCTTGGGATAAAAAATATAGATTTTTAACTTATTTTGGGGGGTAGCATGCTTACCAGCGTCGGTGTTATGTCTTGCTTTTTGATAAATTATAATTTTTTTTATTGATATTTGTATATTGTATCTCTGTTGCCAATTTTTACCTAACAAGCAAAAAATAAAGTCGGTGTAATAACAACTCTACCTAATCAAATGCAGCGTGTCACGCGAATTCACGGGAATGAATAAGAATATAGAGTAAAAAGTACATTATATAAAAATTTACAGAGGTATGATACTTAGCCGATGAAATTTCGTCAAGTTCGCGCATGACGATTGTGGTGTAGAATATGGCCTTGAGTAGATGAAGAGCCCCGTTTTCGATCAGCTGGTACCTACCTCAAATTCGTAGAAGCCACGCTTCTGGACCACAATACGTTACAAAGAAGCAGTATCAATCATACCTTTTTTTTATAGTATCATTTGTAAATTATGCCTCAGCACAGCGTTGCCAACCTATATATCTTTAAACCTCTAAAAAATCGTAGAATAACGGTAGAAATCATGAGAAATCGGTGTAGATTTAAATTAATAATAGAGGCAGAAATATATTGTCTCAAATAAAATATATTATTAAAAAACAGATACAAACTGGTTTTTTATAAAAAAAAAACAGGTAGAACAATAAAATAAGAATAAAGACAATTCAAAATAAGTTGGATAACTAATCTAATTAAAACATTTTATTAAAAAATATAAATATCAAAATAAGAAATCAAATTGTCTTCCTGAGGTTGTAAAATTTTTCTTGTGGAAGGTAAAATTGCAATAGAACAAATTTCAACTTTCAATAAATTTATTTTTGAAATAATTGGATATTATTTTAACACAGTAGGTTTTTTAATCTGTAGAACGATAATTTGGCTCATTCGAAAATTATTTTTGATCTAAAAACACCATTTTTTTTTTAAATTATATTGTTTTTATTAGTATGAAAATGTTGAGAAAAAAATCAAATTTCTCAAATTTGGTTGAATTTATGCGATATTTAAACAAATATATATTTTTATAAAGTTATAGCTTGAAAACAGAGTATATATGAGGCGCCATTTTTAAATCATCTTAAAATTAATAAGAAAATTTTGATTTTTCACATCAAAAATATAACCCTAAGTCCAAAATATTATTTGGCGAAACATTAGTATCTTGATATCCTGAATCTATGTGAAATTGGTTTAGAGTTTCCTTTATCTAATATTATAAATAAGCTACTCACCTAGAGAAGTAGTACTCCAGCTGCTGAGAAAGCATTTGCTTAAGTTGTGGCAAGGGGTAAGCTGACTGCGAAGCATTATCTTGGGGAGCTGAGGGAGGTAAAGGACTAGGCCCCTCAGCCCCCTCTGCTACCCCATTAACAGCTACATATTCCGGATGAGAACCCATGGCAGAGCTCGTCTCAGGGGTGGTATTATACACCACCCCCGAAGGCACTTTGCCAACATCCCCATTCATGTACGCGTATCCTGGAACAGATCAGAATTAGGACTCCTAAGCATATTTATAGTTTTGTTTAATTTGGAACGCATTATGCAATAATGAATTAAGCACACTTATATTACTGATTTTAAAGGCAGGTGCATTCAGCAACATTTTCATATTTGTCAAAGAAATACTAGCTTTCTATTCTTGTTTCGCGAAAACACGTAAATGTTGCTTAATTCACAATTACATAATGGGGTCATTTCATATACTGTGTCGACTAATAAACATTTTCCAATACACTTTGTTAAAGTCCAATTGAAAACTACTGAGTTAGAGTAAGCAGGAAACGAATATTGTAAATGTTGCTGTGTGCCTGTTCACATTATCCAAAGCACAAGACAACTTTGATATTATTTATTTCCTGTTCACACTAATGCTAACTTTGTAGTTTTTGCTACAACATTAGCAGAGTGTATTGGAATGTATTCAGTAGCTGATACTGTATATTTTTCTGTAAAGGGATCACAAAAGAACAAAAAAAATTGGAAAAAACAAGATAAATATATCCATTAATTTAAATTTATTTTATAACAAATCAATTATGAAACACCAGATTACAAATTTTAAGATTTAACATTCCTATTCAATAATTTTCTTTAATGTTCCTATTATTTATTTCTTTATTCCACATTTAACTACATTTGCACATTAAGAATAACATTGTTTATGTTTAATGACTAAATAAATTAAATTAGAAGCCAGCAGAGCACTTTTATTCATGTACACTCTCAGACACAAAATTCTACCACCCTTAAATGTTGATAAAGTTTGATGTTTTACAATATTTTATGTTTTATCCTGTCTTTATGAATTTTCTACCAGTTTGTAGATAAATTGTCGATTTTTTATTGTAACTTCAAAACAGCTGTATTTATTTGTATTTGTTCCCATAATTTTTAAAAATTGACTACACCTGAAGATGGAAAAATTGTATTTTCCGAAACATATGTAGTCTGCTAAACAATAGAAAATAAAAACATTTGACCGATTAAACCAAGGACATTTTTATTTATATAAAATACAATTTTATTAATTTAAAAATAGTTGACAAGTTTAAAGAATTAAAAATTGCTATGAGAGTAGATTCTTTAATTTTTTTTTGAAAATATGTTGTGGATGATGTATTTGAATCATTAAGTATTGATTATAAATTTTAACAGATTGGTAGGTAAATGATTTCTGAAACATGGCTGAATTGTAATGAGGAATGTGAAAAAAAATTTCTAGAGTGGACATTTAAAGGGTGCAGTGCTGATCTCACAACTAACTTATCTAAAAGAGTTTTTGGTTTATTTCCTTTTATTATTAACATTTATTTTTCATTTTTAATCATTTAAATTCATAAATTTTATGAGATACTGGATCATATTTTCGAAGTCCATACATAAATCTAGCACAACAATTTTGTACTTTTTGTATGCAGTTTTGTGTATAAGAATTAATAAAATTTCCATAGATGACATCACTACATGAGAAAATAGACAAATAACTTGACTATCATTTCAACTAGAAAGAAGTGATTTGCATCATTAAATTCCTCTTCAAAGGCTCTACAAACTGGTTTTTACTAATTCAAGTTAGGTTGTCTGTAAGGCAAGATAATAGGATTTTCAGATTGAATTTTAAGAGAAAATTTTTTGTTAAATAATTTGAGTATTGTTTCAACTAGGAAGAAATGGTTTGCAACATTAAATTCCTCTTTAAAAGCTCTACAAAATGGTTTTTACTAATTCATGCTAGGTTGTCTATAAAGCAAGATAATAGGATTTTCAGATTGAATTTAAGAGAAAAAATGTTTGTTAAATAACTTGACTATCCTTTTGAACTAGGAAGAAGTGGTTTGCATCATTAATTCCTCTTCAAAGGCTCTACAAACTGGTTTTTACTAATTCAAGCTAGGTTGTCTGTAAGGCAAGATAATAGGATTTCAGATTGAATTTTAAGAGAAAAATGTTTGTTAAATAACTTGACTATCCATTGAACTAGGAAGAAGTGGTTTGCATCATTAAATTCCTCTTCAAAGGCTCTACAAACTGGTTTTTACTAATTCAAGCTAGGTTGTCTGTAAGGCAAGATAATAGGATTTTCAGATTGAATTTTAAGAGAAAATGTTTGTTAAATAACTTGACTATCCATTGAACTAGGAAGAAGTGGTTTGCATCATTAAATTCCTCTTCAAAGGCTCTACAAAATGGTTTTTACTAATTCATGCTAGGGTGTCTGCAAAGCAAGATAATAGGATTTTCAGATTGAATTTTAAGAGAAAAATGTTTTTGTTAAATAACTTGACTATCATTTCAACTAGAAAGAAGTGGTTTGCATCATTAAATTCCTCTTCAAAAGCTCTACAAAATGGTTTTTACTAATTCATGCTAGGGTGTCTGCAAAGCAAGATAATAGATTTTCAGATTGAATTTTAAGAGAAAAATGTTTTTGTTAAATAACTTGACTATCATTTCAACTAGAAAGAAGTGGTTTGCATCATTAAATTCCTCTTCAAAAGCTCTACAAAATGGTTTTTAGTAATTCATGCTAGGTTGTCTGTAAGGCAAGATAATATGATTTTCAGATTGAATTTTAAGAAAAAAATGTTTGTTAAATAACTTGACTATCATTTCAACTAGAAAGAAGTGGTTTGCATAATTAAATTCCTCTTAAAAGCTCTACAAAAATGGTTTTTACTAATTCATGCTAGGTTGTCTGTAAGGCAAGATAATAGGATTTTCAGATTGAATTTTAAGAAAAAAATGTTTGTTAAATAACTTGACTATCATTTCAACTAGAAAGAAGTGGTTTACATCATTAAATTCCTCTTTAAAAGCTCTACAAAATGTTTTTACTAATTCATGCTAGGTTGTCTGTAAGGCAAGATTAATAGGATTTTCAGATTGAATTTTAAGAAAAAAAATGTTGTTAAATAACTTGACTATCATTTCAACTAGAAAGAAGTGGTTTGCATAATTAAATTCCTCTTTAAAAGCTCTTCAAAATGGTTTTTACTAATTCATGCTAGGTTGCCTGTAAGGCAAGATAATAGGATTTTCAGATTGAATTTTAAGAGAAAAATGTTTATTCAATAACTTGACTATCGTTTGAACTAGGAAGAAGTGGTTTACATCATTAAATTCCTCTTTAAAAGCTCTACAAAATGGTTTTTACTAATTCATGCTAGGTTGTCTGTAAGGCAAGATAATAGGATTTTCAGATTGAATTTTAAGAGAAAAATGTTTGTTAAATAACTTGACTATCGTTTCAAGTAGGAAGAAGTGGTTTGCATCATTAAATTCCCCCTTTAAAAGATCTACAAAATGGTTTTTACTAATTCATGCTAGGTTGTCTGTAAGCAGGGGCGGCTGGTGACCAAAATTTTGGGGGTTCACAGTAGCAGAATATAGATCCTGTACAGATATAGGTAAAAAACTGTCAGTGTTTTAAAAAGGTATATTATAAACTTTCTAAAACACTGAAAGTTTTTTCATACATCTGTACTGATACCTATATTCTGTCACCTGTGAACCACCCCACGAGCCGCCACTGTCCTGTAAGGCAAGATAATAGGATTTTCAGATTGAATTTTAAGAAAAAAATGTTTGTTAAATAACTTGACTATCATTTCAACTAGAAAGAAGTGGTTTTACATCATTAAATTCCTCTTTAAAAGCTCTACAAAATGGTTTTTACTAATTCATGCTAGGTTGTCTGTAAGGCAAGATAATAGGATTTTCAGATTGAATTTTAAGAGAAAAAAGTTTGTTAAATAACTTGACTATCGTTTCAACTAGGGAAAAGTGGTTTGCATCAATAAATTCCTCTTTAAAAGCACTATAAAATAGTTTTTACTAATTCATGGTAGGTTGTCTGTAAGGCAAGATAATAGGATTCCCAAATTGAATTTTAACAGAAAAATATTTGTTAAATAACGACTATCATTTCACTAGAAAGAAGTGGTTTGCATCATTAAATTCCTCTCAAAAGCTCTACAAAATGGTTTTTACTAATTCATGCTAGGTTGTCTGTAAGGCAAGATAATAGATTTTCAGATTGAATTTTAAGAAAAAAATGTTTGTTAAATAACTTGACTATCATTTCAACTAGAAAGAAGTGGTTTGCATCATTTAATTCCTCTTTAAAAGCTCTACAAAATGGTTTTACGAATTCATGCTAGGTTGTCTGTAAGGCAAGATAATAGGATTTTCAGATTGAATTTTAAGAGAAAAATGTTGTTAAATAACTTGACTATCATTTCAACTAGAAAGAAGTGGTTTGTATCATTAAATTCCTCTTTAAAGCTCTACAAAATGTTTTTACTAATTCATGCTGGGTTGTCTGTAAGGCAAGATAATAGGATTTTCAGATTGAATTTAAGAGAAAAATGTTTGTTAAATAACTTGACTATCGTTTCAATTAGGAAGAAGTGGTTGCATCATTAAATTCCCCTTTAAAAGATCTACAAAATGGATTTGACTAATTCATGCTAGGTTGTCTGCAAGGCAAGATAATAGGATTTTCAGCATAGTCAAACAGAATGCCTAGATTTTTTATGGAATCTGCTATAAGTAAAGTTAGTTTTCAAATTGGATTAGATGACATTTATTTTTATTGAGCTTAAGATTATGTTTAATTGACAATTTATGAGTAAGATCAAGATTTTCATTTAAGGCTTGTTCAGCAACTTGATAATTATTACTATCAATGTTGTAATAAAGTTGGATGTCATCGACATTATATGCTTGTATTTTACAGTTTTGAACAGATGTCAAGATATCACAGGTATATAAAATAAGAAGCATTGGTCCTAATATTGAGCCCTGTGGCACACTAGACTGTATGTTTTGTAATGAAGAAAATTCATTATTTAAAAGAACTTTTGATGAATAGAATTTTCAGAAAAACCAAAATGAAGTAGATTGTGATTGATAGTATCAAATGCTTTGGAATAGTCCAAAGCAACAAGTCCTGTAATTTGTCTT